GCAGCCTCGGCTCCTCTTCCTCCCTGTGTCCGCCCCTTCCCAGACCCTGGGGCCTGGTCTGTGGAGTCATCAGTCATTAATTCCACTAATTAATTTGCAAAAGGCTCTTTAAAAAACAACTTTTTTTGGCCAGGCTCAGTGGCTCACACCTGTAGTCCTAGCACTCTGGGAGGCCGAGGTGGGAGGATAGCTTGAGCCCAGAAGTTCAAGACCACCCTGGACAACAAACAGACTCCTTTTCTACTAAAAAGAAAAATAGCCAGGCATCGTGATACCGGCCTGTAATCCCAGCAACTTGAGACTGAGGCAGGAAGATCCCTTGAGCCCAGGAGTTTGAGGCTGCAGTGAGCTATGATGGGTGCCACTGAACTCCAGCCTGGGTAACAGAATGAGAGCCTGTCTCTAAAAAAATTTTTTAATTAAAATTAATTTAAAAATTTAAAATAAATGTTGAAAACTTTTAGGCCAGGCATAATGGCTCATGCCTATAAAACCAGCACTTTGGGAGGCCAAGGGAAGAGAATTGCTTGAGCCCAGGATTTTAAGACCACTGGAACTAAAGGCACAATCGCCACACTCTGCTAATATTTTTTTTAATGTTTAGTGGAGATGAGGGAGTCTCACTATTTTGCTCAGGTTGATCTCCTGTCTCTTGGCTCAAGCAGTCCTCTTGCTTCGGCATCCCAAAGTGCTGGAATTATAGGCATGAGCCACCCCATCTGACTTAAAAGGCATTCTTTTTTTTTTTTTTTTTTTGAGATGGAGTCTCACACTGTCATCAGGACTGGAGTGCAATGGTGCAATCTTGGCTCCCTGCAACCTCTACCTCCCGGATTCAAGCAATTCTCCTGACTCAGCCTCCCAAGTAGCTGGGAGCACCACCACACCCAGCTAATTTTGTAGTTTTACTAGAGAAGGGGTTTCTCCATGTTGGTCAGACTGGTCTCGAACTCCCAACCTTAGGTGATCCACCCGCCTTGGCCTCCCAAAGTGCTGGGATTGTAGGCGTGAGCCACCGCGCCCGGCCCTTTTTTTCGGACTTTGTTATCTATGCGTTTGATTTTGGGTAGTTTCTATTGCTATGCCCTCGAGTTCACTTGTCTTTTCTTCTGGGATATCTAATCTGCCATTAATCCTGTCCAGTGTGTCTTTTATCTCATATTGTAGTTTTCATCTCTAGAAGATCACTGGGATCTTTTTCATACATTCCTTAAGTGCTAGGATTACAAGCATGAGCCATTGTACCCAGCCAGGGTCCTTTTTTTTTTAGTTTTTTACATTTTTGAGATGGAGTTTCATGCTTGTCACCCAGGCTAGAGTGCAGTGGCTCAATCTTGGCTCACTGCAACCTCCACCTCCAAGGTTAAAGTGATTCTACTGTCTCAGTCTCCTGAGTAGCTGAAATTACAGGTTCCTGCCACGATGCCTGACTCATTTTTGCATTTTTAGTAGAGATGGGTTTCACCACATTGGCCAAGCTGATCTTGAACTCCTGACATCAGGTGATCTATTACCTTGGCCTCCCAAAGTGCTGGGATTACAGGTGTGAGCTGCCACATCCGGCCTCCAGGGTCCATTTTTAAATGGATGTCAGATATTATAAAAACTGGATATTCTTGCCTTCCTATACATCTTCTTGAGCTTCATTCTAGAAGTTAACCGAAAATAGTTCAGTCCTTTCAGGTCTTGCTTTTACGGTTTATTCAGTGCCTCCAGAGCTGGAGGACACGAGGATGAGTCATTAGCCAAAGTGGACAGACAAGTCCAGGCTCTAAGCACACCAGCATGGATAAGGAGGCAGTCACAACTCGAGCAGGGCGGCACAATGTGGCCTCAGGCCCACCCTGGCCTTCTCCTTCCTGAAATGGCAGCTGCATGAAGAGGGAAGGCAGAGCTGGAGTTTCCCCCGGCTATACTTGGAGGCACTCTCAAAAGCTATGAAGCCTCAACACAGGAAGAAACCAGGTCTCCAATGTAGCTCTGGGCAGCTGTTAGCAGAGAGCTGTCCAAGAAGAGAGGCCCACCTGTCATCTCATCCCACCTGCCCTTAATGACCAGGCCAAGGGCCCTGAGAAGTCATCACACTGCTTGGGCATCAGTTTACTCATTTGCAAATTGGGGTTGCTCCACCTGCCCTACCTAGCTCACAAGGGTGTTCTGTGCTAGAAGTAAAGAAAGTAAATCCAGCCGGGTCTGGTGGCTCACGCCTGTAATCCCAGCACTTTAAGAGGCTGAGGCAGGCGGGTCACCTGAGGTCAGGAGTTTAAGACCAGCCTGGCCAACATATTGAAACTTCCTGTCTCTACTAAAAATATAAAAATTAGCCAGGCATGGTGGTGCACGCCCGTAATTCCACCTACTCTAGAGGCTGAGGCAGGAGAATTGCTTGAACCCGGGAGATGGAGGTTTCAGTAAGCTGAGATGGAGCCACTGAACTCTAACCTGGGCGACAGAGTGAAACTCTGTCTCAAAAAAAAAAAAAAAAAAAAAAAGCCAGGCACGGTGGCTGAAGCCTGTAATCCCAGCACTTTGGGAGGCCGAGGCGGGTGGATCACGAGGTCAAGAGATCGAGACCATCCTGGTCAACATGGTGAAACCCCGTCTCTACTAAAAAATACAAAAATTAGCTGGGCATGGTGGTGCGTGCCTGTAATCCCAGCTACTCAGGAGGCTGAGGCAGGAGAATTGCCTGAACCCAGGAGGCGGAGGTTGCAGTGAGCCGAGATCGCGCCATTGCACTCCAGCCTGGATAACAAGAGCGAAACTCCATCTCAATTAAAAAAAAAAAAAAAAAAGTAAGTAAAATCCTTACTGGGTCTCTGGCCCTGAGACTGGCTCTCTCCACATAACCCTCTAACCAGTGTGACCACTGGACCTGCTCGTTGTGAGCCCTCAAGATTTGTGGCTAGAAGTCCTGAGGAACAGACAGGAGTTGAGTGTATGGGCAGCCACGAGGTCCAAGTTCTCAAACCCCATCACTTACTCCTTGCAAGGCGTGGTGGGCCCAGCTCTGACAGAAGCCTAGGGTGAGAGGTCTCCCTCCTCTCCAGACTCACAGCCTGAGAGCACTAGGAGACCCAGCTCAGCTTCCGGGCCCAAGCATTTCTTTCATTCCTTTCCTTCCATCCTTGATTCCCCACCACAGGCAGATAGTGTCTGGAGACAAGGGATCAAAGTTCCCATATGCCCTTGGACCTCTGCACCAGAGCTGCCCTCATCCAGCTTTTCCTGGAAGGGCCTGAGAAAACCTGTGGCTGGACCAAACCAAGCGACTCACCCATGTCCACACCACTGGCTGACTCTGGCTAATAGGGCCTGGCTCCCAGAACCTCACATCTGCCCCTAAGGGTTCCTCTGGCAAGAACAGGGTGATCTAGGTCATACCTTATCCCCATTACCACCTGATGACCCAGGAGGGCTTTAGCCTAGTTCAGCTGCCATAACCTTGACGTTCCTGGGTGGTTTCCATAATCTGCCAGTCAGTTTTCCCAATCATGTGTGATTTTGGGGGGACAGAGGAGGGTCTGCTACAAAACTATATATATAAATAAATAATAAATAATGTATATGTATATACACACATACACATTTGAGGTAACCATAGATTCACATACAGTTATAAGAACTAGTACAGAGAGGCCTGGCGCTGTGGCTCACACCTACAATCCCAGCCCTTTGGGAGGCCGAGGCAGGGAGATCACCTGAGGTCAGGAGTTTGAGACCAGCCTGGTCAACATGGTGAAACCCTGTCTTTACTAAGAATACAAAAATTAGCCAGGCATGCTGGCAGGCACCTGTAGTCCCAGCTACTCAGGAAACTGAGGCAGGAGAATCGCTTGAATCCTGAAGGCAGAAGTTGCAGTGAGCCAGGGTATAAAGCCACTGCACTCCAGCCTGGCCGACTGAGTGAGACTCTGTCTCGAATGAATGAATGAATGAATGAGCTTGTGTACACTTTGCTTAAACTCCCCCAATGATAACATTTTACAAAACTGTAATAATCACAATCAGGATATTGACACTGGTAAACTCCACTGGCCTTACTCAGATTTTTCCAGTAAATATGTGCCATTTCAATGATAAGACCACAAAAGCTTTGACCAAAGTTTACCGACCTAGCAAGTTGCCTGTGACCCGGGGGAGCTCACCCTGCTGCTTGGTGTGTCCCTAAAACTGAAAACAGGCGAACAGGAGGAATTTAACCTTTCGGGGCATAATGTGGTAGGCTCCGTACTCACGTCATCATTTAATCCTCACAACAGGCAGGGAGCGGTGGCTCACGCCTATAATCCCAGCACTTTGGGAGGCTGAGACAGGCAAATCACTTGAGGTCACAAGATCAAGACCAGCCTGGCCAACATGCTGAAACTACTAAAAATACAAAAACATTAGACGGGCGTGGTGGTGTCCGCCTGTAATCCCAGCTACCAGGGAAGCTGAGGCAGGAGAATCGCTTTGAGTCCAGGAGGCGGAGGTTGCAGTGATCCGAGCTCGCGCCACTGCACTCCAACCTAGGCGACAGAGCGAGACTCCATCTCAAAAAAAAAGTAATAATAATAATAATCCTCACAGCCTGTTTTACAGACGTTAAGACAGGTGCAGAGAGGGTGGGCGTCCCCGGGCCCCCGGTAGCCCAGAGCACAGCCCGAAGGCCAGGCAACAAACAGATGGAGGCCAAGTGGGCCCGGAGCAGGGTCTTGTACAAAGGGCCTGGGCTCAACGTTAGAGCGCGGCGAGACCCTACTCTGGCTGCAACGAGAAGGGTGAGATGGGCGCCGAGGATCGCCCAGAAACTGCTCGCGCCCCGCCCCGCCGCGTGCTCTCCTCCCCAGCTGTGCAGCCCTCGGCTGCCCCCTGCCGCCGCTGGGCGGACGCAGTAAGCCCCACTGTAACCCCACCTTTGCACCGCCCACTCCCGCCTCCGGATTGGTGGCTCCAGAAATCTCCAGGCCACCCGCCTTCCGCTACCGGATTGGCTGCGCCCGGGTGCTGAGGCCCAGCCCATTTCCCCGGGTCCTTTGATCACGCGCCTGACGGCTTTTCCGGGGCTCGGGAGCCAACCGAGGGCGTTCCTGTCGGGGCTGCAGCGGCGGGAGGTAAGGCATGGCCAGGCCGGCTGGGCTGCAGAGAGCCGGCACGGGTCCACGCCTCGGCGTGTCGGGCTTCCAGGACGTTCGGGCACGGGGCAGCCCTTCCGCGTTCCCCAACACCCCCCACCTCCGGCCTGAGCCTCCCTGCGCCGTGGGAACTACCTCCTGTCCGCTGTTGCTGGCCAGCATCCTAGCAGCGGCCTGACGCCCTCCCCACCCTGGCATGCCCCCTTGACCTGGGACGATGAGCATGCGACTGGGTAAGGGCCAGCTCGATGCCCCGTGTCCCACGGACACCGGGGTAGGTCCCTCATACCGTGCCCTCTGATAGAAAGAGACTCAAGCGAACCTGGGTCCCGGACCTTGGGCCATCAGCGTGCAAACCGCCCCAGGAGGATCTCTTTGCTTCTGTCATGGGGACTGACCCTCTCCACCTCCGCCTGTCAGCTCAGGCTAGGAGGGGAGGGACCTGGGCGGAGCCCCGGGTGGAGACAGGAGGAAGGTGACATCATCTCGAAGATACAATCCAGCTCTATCCACTAGCGTCCACCCTGACACACGAGACCGATGGGGGAAGAGGGTGTTCCAGCTGTATGTCCGAGGTGACACTAGGGACAAGGGCATAGAGCCCAGGCATGGGACCCATCCTTGAAGTGGGATTGGACCAGGATGGAAGCGGGCTCCTTCAGATGCTCCCACCTCACTCCTGGCTGCAGTGCAGGTCCCTCCTGTGTGTACCTCATTTATACATTTTGCTCCACTGGACAGGTGCTGGCAGCCGAATGCCTAAAAGGACTGGGACAGGCGCCTGAAACCTGCACTTAATCTTTCCCCAGAAGTTGAGACTTTGAAATGTTTGGCCAACATCAGAGCTGGGCCCCGCCCTGATTTAGGGATAGGAGCTGGGCAGGACTCAGCCCTGGATCCAGGACTTCCCTTGATGCCCTTTCCTGACAGGATTTGCCAAGACTCGCTGGAGGGTTACACCCAGCACATCTACCTGGAGGATCCCTCCTCCCAGGATTTGACCTGGGACCCGTTTTCTGTGATCTCCAGCTCTGGGGGAGGGATCCAGAGTCTGGATGTCACCCAGGTGCAACTGCTAACCTCCCTTCCTCCTCCCCAGGGAGCCCGGTGGAGGCACCCTCCCGAGGCACCACTGCCCATGCTGACCACCGAGCCCTCCGGCTGCCGATGTCATGAGTAATACCACTGTGCCCAATGCCCCCCAGGCCAACAGCGACTCCATGGTGGGCTATGTGTTGGGGCCCTTCTTCCTCATCACCCTGGTCGGGGTGGTGGTGGCTGTGGTAAGGAGCCCTCATATACACGCACAGACACCCACAGCTTTGCTAAGTAAGGCAGGGGCTGCACGGAGGCCCCACTGTCCTCTTGAGGGAGTGAAGGGTATGGAGGTGGAGGTGAGCCTCTTTCTGCTTGTGGGCCTTCCTGGGCTCAGCAGCCCCCACAGTGCTCTGTCTCTGTTGCAGGTAATGTATATACAGAAGAAAAAACGGTGAGTGTCCCTAGCTCTATGCCTGCCCTAACCCCACACCCATTCTGAAATTCCTGGTCATAGCCTCTGAGTTCTCTGTAAGAGAGAACTCAGCCATCCTGATACAAGCCTGAAATTTGTTTTCCCTGCCCCAGCCCCAGCTTACTGGGGAGAGCTCCTTTGTAGAATCAGGGTTGTATTCTTGGAGCTAAAGTGTGTCCCAAAAGGCACCCATTGAAAGTGTCCCTGCCTGGGAGAGGGAGGAGACTGGGCAGCCAGATGTTTGGCAAGGATTGGGGGGCCTCCTAGGCTGAGTCCCCCTCCCCTGCCCCCCAGGGTGGACCGGCTACGCCATCACCTGCTCCCCATGTACAGCTATGACCCAGCCGAGGAGCTGCATGAAGCTGAACAGGAGCTGCTCTCTGACATGGGAGATCCCAAGGTAAGCACAGCGGGAGAATGAGGCAAGCGGGGCGGTCAGCCCTGTTCCCAGCCACTCTTACACACTGAAAGCAGAGCCTGGTTCTGCTTACTTGGGCTGTAATTGAGTGCTGCAGACTCCCAGGGGACACAACCCAGCCTTGTGGTGTGGTCTCCTCACCCACAGGTGGTACATGGCTGGCAGAGTGGCTACCAGCACAAGCGGATGCCGCTGCTGGATGTCAAGACGTGACCTGACCTCCTTGCCTCACCCTTCAGAGCCTGGGGCCCTGGACCACCTGGGGCCATCGTGGGACTCTTCCCCTGCCCACCTGCAGTCACTCAGCTCCTCCTGCTGGGTACTTCTCCCTCTGCCCACTCAGCAGCACCCACTTCCCAGGCGCTCACTGTCACCTCACTGTCCCATGGCCTTCTGCCCTTTGTGGGTGTCAAGCTCACCACCCATCCACAGGCACTCAATGGGAGGAGCTTTTCCTTCTGGGGTGGGGACGGCTGCAAGACAGCTTTGCTTTCTCCAGCCCTCCTGGGCTTGGTTTGAGCATAAATCCCCAGGGATTTGGAGTTGTTTCCATGGTGATGGGGCCAGATGTATAACATTCAGTATATATTTTGTAAATAAAATGTTTTGTGATTAGGGGTTGATTTCATCAAAAGAGGCTTCAAATGACCTTCCCCAGAGGCAATTCCAGTGCTAGTTTCCCTCCCTCCTGCAGCCTGAAGGATGGGGGCAAGAGTGCAAGTGTCACCCACCCTACCTGCCCCAGACTGTAGGGGCACACACCACAGGAGACTCCAGTCCAGAAAAGGATATTTTTTATTCAAGTAACTGCAAATAGGAAACCAGAGGGGGAGCCCCAGGCTGGGACAAATCATGGCTACCCCTCCCCAACAGAACAGGGGGAGGTGGTGGCCCCTACACCCTTTGTGGTTGATTTGGGCCCCCTTGCTCACTCTGCTGCAGCATCCAAGGGGCAGGGCCCCACCTTCCCTGGGACTGGGGTAGTCGGTCACCCAGCCTGCCATGCCCCAGCCCCTCTTCCCCATGAAGAGTATCTTGGGGTAGGGTATTGTGGGCAGAACAGGAGGCATTGAGGATGAACGTTTGGCGCTGATAGCAGCAGCAATGATGGATGTCAAAGAATGGAACATTGAACAAAAACAACACAACTGTCCAGAGGTAGTTTGTGAACAGAGGAAAAATGGAACCAGAACCTTGGGGGACAGGGAGGAGCAGGAGGGGTGGGAGTGGGCAGGGTGAGCTCCTTGTTATTGGTGCCCCATCTGAGGAGGGGGAAATGGCCAAGTGGCAGAAGCAAAGTAGGGTGGGGGAGCAGCTCCAGCCCATCTCAGGTGGTAGCCACAGGGCTCATGGGCCTCACCTGGACAATAAATGACTGCATCTCCATCACCACGATATATACTCAGATCCCAGGCGGAGGGCCAGGGGACTGGGACCACAGTGAAAAGGGTGTAGGGGACTCATACCCCTCCTGCCTTCCTGTAGCCAAAGGGGGCTGTCCGACCTAGTGGAGGGACTAGGGAAGGTGGGGAAGGATGAAAGGTGTGAGCCCTATGTGGTGACAAAGACAGTTTGGCTGGGGGAACTTTGGGGGCCAGCACCCCCCTCCACTGGCCACACCTGCTGCTGCCAGGGCAGTGAAGTAGGGTGTGCCAGGATGAGATGGGGCTTGGGCCCCTTTTAAGGCCAGGGGAACCCTCCCAGGCCCCACTATGGGAAGCCAGAGGGAACAGTAGAGGAGCAGAGAGGGCGCCCCCAAACCAAAAGCCCAGAGAGCAATGTCCCCATCACCAAGGGAGTGGGGATGCAGCAGGTGCAGGGTGCGGCTAATTGGGATGTTAGCCTTGTCCAGGAGGGCATGTGTGTGTGCATGGGTGGGCGGGGGAGCTGGGAACTGAGGCCGGGGAAAACTGCTCCCCACTCAGCCCATGGGGGCCCTGCAGCGGCTGGTGTGCTGTGTAGTGTGGTGGTGAGGGCACAGGTGGAAGATGGGGGTGGTGGCCGGCGGTGGTGGTGATGGTGGGCCTGGGGAAGGGGCGGGGCAGTGGGAGCGGAGCAAAGCTGTCCAGTCCCAGAAGGAAGCTGCTCCAGTGAGGAGCAGGCGGCACGCACGGTCACTGCTCCTCCTCCGAGGACTCCTGCGAGATGCCCTCCTCTTCCTCCTTCTCCTGTGAGGTGGGCAGTTGTTGGTGTGGGCTCTGGCCTGGCCACCCTCCTTCTCCACCCCCAGAGGCTGGCCCCCACCCGCTCCCTGCACTCCCTGGCTCTCCCGAAGAGGGATGAGTCAGGGCTGAGTGTGTGGGTGACTCAGCAACCTCCACAGCCCGGCTTCATTCATAAAAATAATTTAAAAGGAGGAAAAAACCCCACACACATGCTGCTCTCACCCAGAGCTAGGAGCCAAGCCCCCTTGGCCCCCAGGCCCATGTAGGGCAGAGCTCAGGGCAGCACTGAGCTCCAGGATGTGACTGGCTCCATAGGGGAGAAGAGGAGGTGGGGAGGAGGTGGCTGGGGGAGGAAATAAAAAGGGGTGGATGGAAGGTACATGAGATCTGGTGGGTGCTGGGAAACCAGGTCCTTGGCCCACAGGGACAGGTGCTGCGCTGTGGCACCCTGGCCCTCCGGGGTGGCTGAGGGCTGACCCCCAGGTCAGGGTGGGGAGGAAGGGGAAGTGTGTGCCGCCGGGGCCACTCACTGGGCGGGAATGTTGGGACACCACACGGGGCTACAGCCCCCGTGCCAGGCACAAACTCCAAAACAACTTGTTTCCTGTTACTCACTCCTGGGGCCTGGCCAGCAGCGCCCCCTAACCCCCCCACCCCAGTGGCTCAGCTCGAGGAATGACAGCTTCAGGGAGTTGAGAGGGCAGGCTGGGGATAGGAGAGGACCAGGAGCTGGAAGGCTGGGATGACCCTAACTGCAGTGGCCCCCTAGAGGCAGCCTCCTGACTCAGCCCACCGAGCCTTTCCACCAGCTGTTTGGGGTCCCAGAAGTGGATGATGCCCCGCTGTGCAGTGTGGTCAATCACACCAGACCTCCAGTGCCGACCCCTCCCAGGGCCCGGCTCCTTTGCAGTTTCTTTCTCAAGAGGATCAAAGGAAGGATAAACCTTCCCCCTATGGCTTCCTTTCCTCATCTCTAATTGAGGGAGACACAGACTAGATGACTTCCAAGATCTCCCCTAGAAGTTCTAAGTATTCTAGGAGCAGGAGAGGGAAGGACCCCCCCCACACAACTAGGGCACGTCAGGGGGATGTGGTCTGGTTTGTACCTGGGACCCCTCACTTCTCATGGGCACAGGCCAGGCACCTTCCCCTCTCTGGACTTCTGTAAAGTCTGCTATCCCAGCAAGTCAGGGAGAGCCTTTCCATAAGGGGTGCATAGTATCGGATGCTGTGTGTTCTTAACACCCTCCCCCAAAATAGCCCAGGAGGCCAGCAGCAATCTGCTTCTTCACCTACCAGTTTTTTGGGTCTGCCCCTTGGTTTCCTTCCTGGAGTTGTGGCGGTTTTCTAGACGGTTAGAGAAAATATCTCCTAAGTCCAAACTGCTCAATAGTGCTCACCGGATGCCTGATGGTGAGGGAGGGGCAGACCCACCTGCCTGTTCAGGGCGGCCCAACACTCTCACCCAGCAGGCCCACCCGAGTCCAGCTGGTGATGACTGGCCAGCCACATTTGCCCCCTCAACATACACACACGCCCCCTACTCCCGCCTCCACCCATGACTCAGAGGATATGAGTCGTGTCTTAGAAAAAATAAAATAAAAAACAAAACAACTTTTCTGAAAGGCTGATGCCACTGTGAATCTGGCCTTTGCTGCTTGTCCCCACCCCTTCAGGCTCCAAGGGACCCCAAGGGGAGAAGCTAACATTCTCAGCCCAGGTGCTGGCAGGGACCCTCCACTCTCCCCACTCTGCCTTTCTCTAGATCAGGAAAGCCATGGACTTCTGACCTGATCTCCCCATTGTCCGGGCAGGACCAACCTCTGAGAAATGAGACCTCAGTCACTGCCCCACTTTCCCCAAGGCCCACTGCCACCCCTGTGCCAGGAAAGGGGGTGCACAACTGCATCTGCCCCTTGGTTTCCTTCCTGGAGTTGTGGTGGTTTTCTAGACCGTTAGAGAAAATATCTCCTAAGTCCAAACTGCTCAACAGTGCTCACCGGATGCCTGGTGGTGAGGGAGGGGCAGACCCACCTGCCTGTTCAGGGTGGTCCAGCATGACTGAGCCCTTCCCCCAGCTGTGGCCATGAGCAAACAAGAGGATCCTCTGCTAGTCACCCACCCAGGGGCAGCCCCATCTCAAGCCTCACCCGGGTCTTGGCAGCGCCCTTGTTTTTGCTTCCCTTTGGTCGGCCCCGAGGTCTCTTAGGTGTTGGCACTTCGCTGGGCTCCTTCTGTAAGGACAGAGGGGGTAGTCAGGGACAGTCACCAGCTGTTTCAACCCCCTCAGAAGACAGAGCCCTCTGCCTCCTCAACAAGGTTAAGTCAGCAAGAACCAAGAACCACCCCGACCTAGGAATCCCTCCAGGATCCAAAGCCCCAGTTTGATCATCTTTACCAAGCGCCTCCTACTCCTCCCCTTGCTTCCCTGCAGGTTTCTAAGACACAAAATGACAAGAGCCCAGAAGACCCCTAGGAAAGGCATTCTGGGGACAGACAGACACTGTCAGGTGGTTTTGCCCAAGTCTCAGTTTTGACACTGATCTTGGGCAGGACACTTAATGCTGGAGCCTCAGTTTCTTCATCTATAAATGGTGAAGACTTCCTGAGATTACACGGGTAACGTATGGTTATCTAGCACTGGGCCATGATCACTGCCCATCCTCTCAGATGACCTATGCTGGACACATACTCCCTTGCCTGCACCTGCAAACCTGGACCCCATCCGGGCCACCCCCAGAGGGGTAATTATGTCCGGACCCCAGAGATCCCTGCTGCCATTGTCACTGAAATTTTAATAAACCCTAGATAGAATAAAAAGCTGCTGCCTAATGCATAGAAGGTGCACAGTGAAGGCATGCCAGCTAGTTTCCTAGGGGGCTGCCCATAACCAGGGTCCAGTAACCCAACACCCCTCCTGACAGCTCCCACTGACCAGGGCTAACAGGCAGGGGAGGAAAGGAGGCTGAGGGAGCTAGGCTAAGAGGGTGAATGCCCCCACCACAGGTTCTGAAGGTGGCTGCCGAATTCCAACACAGCAGACTCCTCACAGCTCCTGTCTCCCTAGGCCCAGGTCAGCACAGACCACTCCCCACCTTACAGACAGGAAAAACCTGCAGGTGAACAACCTACCTCGGGTTTAAGGCGCAGGAGTCAATTTTGACTCCTCTCACCTTTTCCCCAGGGAAGGGAAGTAACTGAGCTTCACCAATAGCCACCCCTCACTTGGGTGACAACTGCCTCTGTAAGAGGCCAATACGTAGTCCCCCCATGCCCAAGTGGCCATGCTCTCTAGGGTGCCCCACAGGGCCAGGCTGGCAGCCTCATCCTTCTATGGGACCTTGTGGGGAGAGCAGCACCAGGGTTCTCAGGGGCCCTGCCACCAGCTCCCCAACATTTTTCACTTCTTGGGCTTTCAGTTTCCATTTACAGAGCCAGGGGCAATGCCCATTACTGAACTACTCACAACATGGCCTGTGCATGAACAGGCGCTGGCCCACACAGGCACCTGTTTCTTGCCTGGGATGAGTAAGTACAGGAACTGACCCTAAGTATTTAGAAACTTGGCCGGGCGCTGTGGCTCACACCTGTAATCCCAGCTCTTAGGGAGGCAGAGGCAGGAGGATAGCTTGAGCCCAGGAGTTCGAGACCTGCCTGGGCAATATAGCGAGACCCCATTCTCCACAAAAAGGAAAAAAAACAAAAAGACAAAAAGAAAAAAAAGTATTTAGAAACTTAACAGTAAATTGACAAGAGCCATTTTACATGCACTAAATCTAATGATTAAAAACCCTGGGCATCTATGTTTATGTTTTCATTTTTGTTCATTCATCTGTACTGTATTTTAAAAACACTGGTCCACAGTGGACTGGAAATGAAGAAAAACATGGATGTTTTAAGTAAGCACTGGCTATGCGACTTCTGGGGTGCTTTAGGTTTGGACTTCCTGCCATTGGCTTCAGAATTCTTCTTGAATTTCCCGGCCCCCAGTTCTCTCCTGGGGTCTCCAGAGCTCTGACCAGAGTTGCAAGCAGGGCAGGAATACACACAGGAGGGAGGACACACCCGCACACTTACTGCGCAGAATCATTCTGCACCCTCCAAGCGTGCTCTCACCTGCTGAAAGAAACGCCAGGCACCTCCCTAGCCCCAAAGGATAAAGCAAGCGAAGCAAAGGTTTGGACACCCACCTGACTCCCTACCAGCGCTGTCCCGGGACTCACCGGAGGCTGCTTGCGTGGCCTGCCCCGGCCACGCTTCTCAGTGCCATCCTTTTCCTGCTTGGAGGCCAAGGGCTGGCTGGACTTCGAGCTCGATTCGCTCATCTTCCCTTCTCTAAGGAGTAGGTGGAAGAGTGATGTCTGGGATGCTGAGAGAGGGAAAAGTGCTTTTAGACAAATATCTCACTCCAGCCCCTTTCTACCCCCCATCATCCATACCTTCAAGGCACACTGCTGAAAATTATGCTCCCAGGCCTCCTACTCTGCCCAGGATGAAGGGGTCTGCCCAGCTCTAGATGCTGCCAAGGGTGGGGCAGGGCAGTTGGCCCTAATCAGCTTCTTATCTATCTACTGTTCAGAAGGGCTCTTTGTTGTCCTGCCTTAACACTGCCCCCACAGAGCAGGGTGTGTGTGTGGGGGGTGGGGGGCGGGGGGAGGGACTCAAGAGGTACATCCAGCCCAGATCTAGCTACATGGGTGAGGCCACCATGGGGCAAAGGTGTGAGGAGGTGGGGTCTGACGTATCGCCAGCAACCCCTCCCTCTGTAGCCAGCGCTGCTATTTATCTTTAAGAGAAAACCCAACCCGGGCAGCTTAGTGGGGACTAGGAAGAAAGTGCAAAGAATGAGACCTTGAGATTTGGCAGCTATGGACATTGATGCCCTGCCCACCTCACCGATGATATTGCCTATCTGGCAAGGTCCAAGCCTCAGGACCAAAAAAACACCATCACATAACCAGGGGTGGTGCCCACCCACTAGCTCTCTTCTCACCCAGGGTAAATCCCCGGGATTCAAAGATTGGTATAATTGAGGGAGGGAGAAGGAGATGTTGAAGCTGCAGTGGATGAGGTGAGGAAGGAAAGGGAGCCCAAAGCCAAGCATCTTCCTCTTTCCCCTCTTCCTCAACTTCATCAGATGGGCAGGGAATTCTCTAACTGAAATGCACCCATCTAACAGACCCTAGCTGGCCCCCTGGCAGGACGCATCCTAAACGCTTCTTGGTCGTTTTCTAGCATCTTCCTTCTTCCCAAGGGGTTTAATTAACCCCATTAATTTTGAGTTTTTCTAAAACTTCCCATTAGAAGGAGGTCCTGCACCCTGTATTTGGGAAGATCCTTGTACTACAGGCTTAGAAAGCCTGTCCTTTACATCTCCATCCTAGTCCTTCCAATCCCAGGCTACAGACGGACAAGACCCCGGAGGCCTATGCTACACATTTTTCCAGTAACCAATTCCTGCCTGCCCATGGTAAGGGGTGGGCCCAAGCGGCTCCACTTCTGAAATCTTCTCAATCTGTAAGATCAAGATAATTATAAGGTACCTGCCTCAACTACCTCCTAACTGCTTCAAGATCAAACTAGGTAATAGTTTAGAAAAACTTAAATAATAGAAAGAAATCTTCACTTTAACCAAAACAAGAACTAGACCCCAGGTGAGGTGACTCACTACTGTAATCCCAGCACTTTGGGAGACCAAGGTAGGAGGACTGCTCGAGGCCGGGAGTTCAAGACCAGCTTGGACAATTAGGTGGGACCCCCTTGTCTAATTTAAGAAAAAAAAGGAAGAAAAAGTTTTTACCCCAATGAGAGGAAAAAACATGTTTGCAAACTTGTGATTTCTGGAGGGCCCAGGATCTCCATTCTCAAGCATCAAGAGACCCTCCAGACAGCCGGACTTTGGTAATTATTCTATCTTATAATGTTTCAGACTTGGGAGACCCTTTTAAACAAGGTGGTTGGTGACTTATACTGCTCCGTCATTAGTGGCTTGGCCTTCTCTGTAATTACAGGCAGTGATTAGAATCTTAGATTACACCACAGGTCCCCCTTCAAACTTAACATCAAAATTAATCAACTAAACGAGTACTGACCTCATGTAAGGTCTGCCTGAGGCCCCCTCATGGAGGGGGTTCCAGTTGGGCGAGGCCAGTCCGGAATCCCAGAGAGCCTGGGACCGGTCGGCCTGGGGATCTTGGCGGGTCTCCCTGGAAGCTCTCATACCATCTGGTGCCCCCTCCCACCTCTTACTGCGGAGGACCCTTTAATCCCCCTCAGCCAACCCCCCGAGAACTAAATGAAGGCCGGAGGCCCTTTCCAGTTTGGCCAAGAAACGCTCGTCTCTTCCACCTGTTCATGAACATCAGAGGCCTGTCCTGGAGGAACTACATTTAGGGCCCAACCCAATCCCTCACTTTGTAATAAGCCCGCTTGGGCCTCAAGCCTGTCTCCTCCATACACTGTGCACGCAAAGTTTGCTCCTCATATACTTAAGGGCTCTGCAAGCAAAGGCACCAGAAAATTATGTTGGGTGTTCCCTTATATTTTTCCCCGTCCCCCGTAAAAAGGTATCCCAGAGAAGCCTGATGAGTTGCCGAAGGTCACACAGCAAGTTGGCGAAGAGGAAAAAGTAGGTTCCCGGAGACCCTTTCAACCCGACACTGGGCCTACCGGCCTAGCGGCTAAAGCCCCCGAGGCATCAGGCTTCATACTCGGCCCAAGGGTGACTCTGCAAGTGTCGGGCCCCGGGACCAGAGTGCGCGGGGAGGGGGAAGGGTGCAGGCCGCTCCTGCAGGCGCGGGAAAGCAGCGCACCCCGACCGCATGCAACGCCACGCGGGTGCACCCGGCCCCACTTCCTGCCAGAGGGGGCACCCAAGCCCGCCTTGGGGCAGGAAACCTGGCGCGCACCGGCTAGGGGGAAAAGAAGAAAAGACCCTCCCTCCGTCCCTTCCCCGCAAAATAAAGCCCCAGAAGAAAATAAAATAGAAACGGGGAGTCAAAGGGACTAGTTCCAACAGAGCCCAGCAAAGCAGCGAAACCAGTTTGTGGGGGCGGAGGGCAGGCCTGGCCCCTGGGGCTGAAAACGCGCGGGCCAGGCCAGAGGTGGGGTCGGGGTGAAGCCCCAAACCCAGGCCCGCGCTCCGGCCTCATCTGCCGAGGGGGCGCCGGGAGAAAGGCCGAGAAGGTGTAGGGCCCAATTTCGGGGTTCCTCCCCCTATCCCTCACTTCCAGAACTTCCTCGGGCTGCGGGGGTGCCCGACCCCCCACTCTCCCGCCGCGCTGCAGTCCGTGTTTCTCCCCGCCCCTCAACCCGGGCCCGTGCTCGGGCTCCGGCGGGAGCGGCAGCCGTGCGAGGTGCGCCGGGCTCTGCTGGGTGCACAACTCGCGCTCGCCGCAGCCGCGCGCCCCCTCCCCCACCGCGCGCCTTTCCCGGGTCCCCGCCCCCCGCAGGGCGCCCGTGGCGCGGGGGAAGGGGTGCGGGCGTCCTCCCCGCGCAGCCGGGCCCCGCCGCCCGCCCCCGCGCCGCGCGGCCCTCCCCCGCCGCCGGCTCGCGCCGCCCCGGCCTGGGAATAAAGCCGGCGGCGCGCGCTGCAGCCCCGGGCGGCTCGCAGGAGGGGCAGCGTGAGGGGGGGGCGCCGGCGCCCCCCTTCGCCGCCGCCGCCGCGGGCCCCGGGGACGACTCACCGCGAGCTCGGCCGCCGGCCTGCGGTGCGCGCTCAGGGTTGCCGGGAGCGGCAGTGCTGGGCGCTGAGGACCGGCCTGGCTCCGCCGCGGCCGCCGCTGGTAGCAAATGCGGATCTGAAACCGGGAGAGAAAGCAGAGGCGCTCAGAGACCGCCGCCGCCGCGTGCTCGCCGCCCAGGCCCCCGCGGGGTATTTATGTGTCACAGCCAGGCGGGGGGACAAAAATATTCGCCCTCCCCCGAAGGATGGCGAGGGGCAGGAAGCTGGGCACGGCCCGTGCGCGGCCTCAATAAATAAATAATTTAATTAAATTATAGATATAAAAAAAAGAAGCCACCGGAGCGGCCGCGAACTCACGCCTTCTTGGAGCCGCGCCAGCGCCAGAAATAGCCCCGGCTCGGAGTCCCAATTAGAGGAGCGCAGCACCGGCTCAGGGGAGCTTAAAAAGAGCGACCCAGGGGCAGGGGGGACGGGCCCGCCCGCGCCAGCCGTGTCACTCAAGGGGCGGGGACATGCAAATGAGCCCGGGGATTTAAAAGGGCGGCCGCCCGCCAGCCGCCGCTGCCGCGCGGGTGGGTGCTAACGGCTGGGAGGGGCGTGTGGGAGGCCTGGGTTGCGAACCCGAGTCGACCGCCCACTCGCAGTCCGGGACGGAGGTGGTGTGGGAAGGCACGCACAGAGAAGTCACAAAGGAGCTTCTAGCGGAGGGTGTTGACGGGTGGGGGCATCCTTCCTCCCTGGTACAGGGGCCCCGGGAGTCACCTGTAGGGGCTTCCTGGGCGTGCGGGTGTGGACGGGCGTCCACGCGGGCCGAGGGGGGTGGAGAGAAACGCGCTTGTTAGAGAATTCCGCGGCCTACACTCCGCCCCCTCACCGAGACAGAGGGCTGGTAGATTTCCCCTGGGCGGACAGGTGTCAGCCTGTACCTTTCAGTGTCAACTCGCGTGTGGCTTATTGGTGAGATACAAGTCTTGTGAAATTCAAACGTGAAACTTGTGAAATCCAAAGTGTTTTACTAATGGCCACCAGCGAGCCATGATCAAGGTGGAGCCTTCAAGCGAAACCAACGATTGGCTCATTGGCGGACACCCGAGGGAGGCTTCATGCCTTGATGTGACTTGAAGGGTGTTTTGGAGATACGCAGGCTCACTTGGGGACCCGGGCCTTTCCACTGGGACTGTAAATAAAAACAAAAGGTGGACCAGAGGTCGCCTGGAAGCGCTTTGAGGGCAGGGGCAGAGCACGCAGGCCATCCCCTAAACGCCTGGCCAGCCTGGCGGCCGGCTTAACAAAAACTTGTTGCACGGAGGGAGAAGGAAGCCAAAGGGGAAGATGGCGGGGAGGGCGGTGGGGGAGGAAAGGGCGCAGGCGGAGAGGCGCGCCCTGCAGGCCGGCCCGGGGCCTTCTTGGGCGCACCTCCCGCGCCCGGTCCCCGAGGCGGCCTTCCACACCTCCTGTGATGCAGGGAATTGAAATGCGCTTCAGTGACACACGGCTGTGACTCATGTTTTTCTCTGTTCCCCTTCTTCCTCTCCGGTCAGCCGAGGCCCTGGCCCAGCCCCCTCCTCAGGGGGCGAGTCGGCAGTGGAGGGGACGCAGGAAAGCCCTGGGCCCGGCGCGGAGGCGGGGTGGGGAGCGGCGGGCTGGGCCTCGCAGTTGCAGGAATGTGGCAGGAATGTTTCCGGTGGGGGTGGGGAGCGGGCGGGGGTGGGCCCAGCTTCCACACGGGCGGCGGGAAGCGCTCGGGGCCCGGGCAGCACGTGCTCGGCCGGGTGGGGGCGGGGGCGCCTGGGCGGGAAGGCGCCAAGGGCCGGGAGCGCGGGTTCAAAGGGGAGGGTGCGGGCCTGGTGCCGGCTCGGCCTAGGGGTGGGCCCGGAGGCCGCCCTCGGCGCGCCTGCTCCCCGCCCCGCGCCCAGGTGAAACGCAGTTCCTGAGAAGTCCCGGGGCCGCCCCTTGAGGGGAGAGGAAGTCACCGAAGGGCGGCCTGAGGGGAGGGGAGGGGAGGAGAGGGCGGCGGGGCCCGCGAAGGAGGCTGGGGGAAGGGCGGCCTGCCCCTTTGTCTGGCGGGTGGGTGGGGGTGGAGTGGGGCGGGTGGATCGTGCCGCTCCCTCCATCTTTGTGCCCTGGGCGCGGAGCGGGCGCTTAGTAGGCCGTGAGTGGAGGTGGCTGGAGGGCGTTCGGTTTCGAGCGCAGGAACCTCTGCGGCGTGGCGTGGAGGCGCGATCCATTAGCCTTCAGCACCCTGTCCCGGGTCACAAGCCCCCCGCCAGCACCCTGGGACCCAAGTGTGGACTTGGGCTGCCCCCCGGAGCCGCGCGCCCCTCCACTTCGTGCTCTCCGAGGTCGCCGAGGCTGCTAGGCCCGAGCCCGGGCTGGTGGCCTGGCGGCTGGGAAGGTGCGGAGAGGGTCCTGTCGGTCCTTTCCCTCGGGTGCAGCTCTCCCTGTCCTTGTGGGACGCGTGGCCGCCCCTGAGACGGAGGGGAGAGGGACTTCGCTTCGAGTGGGTTGTGGGAAAACTTGGCCAACTTTTTGGCCCACTTCTAGCGAGCCGACTCGCTTATTTTTCCTGCTCTTATTTTCCCCTCGGCCTGATTTCCTCAGCGACTTGTTTTTTACCTTGTGTTGTGTGTATTTTTGTAAGCCACCACAAACCCTCTCTGGAAGGAGGCAGGTATAAATAAATTTGTAGGCAAATAAATATAGTAGCTGTTCCCCTCCAGGATTACCCACACCCTTGAAATCCAAATAATTCTACCCACTGACCCCCACCTCCACGCTTTCTGGATTGTAAATGCCCTGAATTCACTGCCTTTCCTTTCTTTCCTCTTGGAATAAGTATTAAGCAGAAGAGCGACTGGTACGGATAAAAAGATGAGTAGGATGTAGTCCTTGTCTCCGCGAATTTCACGTCTAGAGAAATCAGGATCAGGCCTGCACTAGAGAAAGCTGAGTAGCAGTACAGGAGATGCCACGAGGTAGAAAACATTCATTCAGTAGTTATTGAGAACCAACTGTTCAGCAGGAACTGGGCCAACCCTAGGGGTACAATCAGTGAACAAAGTCCCCTGCACTCTTGAAACTTGAACCAAGGGGTCAGGTGCTTAAAGACTTAGGAGGAGCTACAGGAGGAGAGGATGGGAGCCCAGGGTGGTCAAGGAAGTTCTGGAGGAGAGGGGCTTGAGCAGGCTTTCATGAGACTTGGATAGGTGGGTGGCTGAGCAGTTGAGGGCAGGCAGGTCAAGGGACATGGGGCATGGTCAAGGCTGGTGGGGTTGAGGAGTTAGTCGATATCAGAACCCGTCTTCCACACGGGAAGCATTATTTTCTGTTACTGGAATCAGCCCATACAGTTTCCTCAAGGACGACTCAGTGCACTTCAGTGAACCCAACAGGAATGTCCAGGGAATGGGGAGTTCGAGTCAACTTTATTTTTTGGGACATCTGACTGTTAAGCTCATTTTCTGGATGATTAGATGAAAAGAGCAGTGTGGATGGTTCCATTTAGTTCTATGAAGTGTTTGGCTTGATACATTTTCACAAAGTGATCACCTTTGTGTCACCAGCACCCAGACCAAGAAATACAACATCTCCACTACCCTATGTAACCATCATCCCAACTTCAGCAGCGTTTCGTTTTACCTGTTCGTGTACACATAGAGATATGGGGTCTTACATTATGAAACCCAGGAAACTCTTGGGTGAGTTTCCTTTGCTCACCCTTATGTCTGTGAGGTTCATCCATGCTACTGTGTGTGGCTGCAGAACGTTCATTCTCAGGGCTGTTTAGTGATATGATGTGAATGTACCACAATTTATTCTGTTGAAGGACATTTGGATAGTTTCTGGCTGGGGGCTATTATGAATAGTGCTGCCAGGAATGTTCTAGAATATATTTTGGTGGGTAGTGTACAAATTTCTGTTGGTTACCTGCCTAGGAGAGGAATTACTGGTTCACAGGATGTATATGCTCAGCTTCAGCAGATGAGCAGGGCACTTCAAAGTAAAATCGGCACTAATGATACTTATGACCAGACAGCAGGCATAAACCTGATCTGCCCCCTATCAACTATGACTGACCTAGGCCGGTCAGAGGTGGGGCAAACCTGGTACACAATGTTTGACCTCCCTCCTCGAGAGTCACCCAGCTACTAGTGCATCTGGTCATCTGGCAGGATCAGGCCTCCAGGCTATGCTGACCACAAGTTCTGCTGCCAGCAAGGCTGGCAGGCCTAGAAGGGGAGGAGGGCCTCTGCTGCTTCCAACTTTCGTGGGAAAAACTCTTAAGTGAAAAGGAGGGCCCAGGAACCAGGGCCCTCTCCGCCTTCCTGCTGTGAGCTAATGACACACCCTGCATGGCCCTAAGATACCATGAACTTTTCAGCTTACTTCTTCAGGGCTGAATCCCCAAGGAAGCTCAGCTCCTCTCCAACCCCTGAAGAAATCTGAGAAGAGGGTGGAGTTGATGAGCATACACTGAATACACAGGTTCTCTCAGATGCCTCCACATCCCTACTGGTGGGGATTTTAATACCTGTGAAATGGGGCAATAGCATCACTCACCATTTCACAGGTATGAAAATCAAGCCTTGGATGGGCGTGGTAGCTTATGCCTGTAATCCAAGCTCTTTGGAGGCCAAGGTGGGCAGGTCACCTGAGGTTGGGAGTTCAGGACCAGCCTGACCAATATGGTGAAACTCCGTCTTAAAAAAAAAAAAAATCAAGTCTTGGGTCAGTTAAATAGCTGAGGATATTGCCTCTTTCCCCTCTACTGCTTCCGTTCTCAGGCTGGGTGGGCTTGCTGCCTCCTCAGAGCCTGGCCAGATGGATCCCTCCAGGTACCAAGGGTGTAGCCTTGAAATGGGTACCTACATTCCTGTCCTCAAAGGGCTTGCATTGAGTGGGGTGCACAAGGGGATGGACATGTATACAGACAATTCCACCAGTGTGGTACACACTGTAATGCGGTCCTGGGGGAGCTCAGGGCAGGGGCACAGGGCATGGGTGGAGCATCCTAGGAGGCCTAGGATGCAGGCAGATGGGAGCAGTAGGGTGTTTGACATGGGGATGGGCTTGGGGCTGTGAGAGATGATGTGGTCAGGTATTTGGTACACACCATGCTCTACATTCATTTGAAGCTAGTTTTGGATGTGAAATGGGTACCACCAAAGAAAGTGAAATTTGGGGCCAGGCGCAGTGGCTCATGTCTGTAATTCCAGCTTTTGAGAGGTCGAGGCAGCAGGATCATTTGAAGTCAGGAGTTCGAGACTGGCCTGAGCAACATGGTGAAACCCCATCTCTACTAAAAATACAGAAAACTTAGCCAGGTGTGGTGGTGCACCCCTGTGATCTCAGCTACTTGAGGGGCTAAGGCAGGAGAATTGCTTGAACCCGGGAGGCAGAGATTGCAGTGAGCCCAGATCATGCCACTGCATTCCAGCCTGGGTGACAGAGTGAGGCTCCATCTCAAAATAAATATAAATAAATAAAATAATAGATAAAATGAAATTTAGTGGCAGGAAATGCAGAGAAGGAACTATTGCTATGTGGGCTGTGGAGATGCGGGTTTTCTACAGGACATTCAGCATCTAGTCACCACCTTCATGGTGTTCAAGAGGCAGGTGCAGTGACACAAGGCCTCCTGACCCTAGATCAGATCTTAACCATGCTGGTGGGGCCTCCCAATTCCCTACCCCCCTTATCAGGTCTGAGGCCAGGCTGGCAGTTCAGTCGTGTTCCCAGGGGCCCAGCTTGGAGCCGGCTCCTCCAGTTCTTCCAATGGTTTTGTTAAACACCTAATTCCTGGCATTCAATCTCTCTACATGAAACGTAAGGCATGTTTCTCCTCTGCTCAGATTCCTCCAGGGGCCCCCACGGCCCTGCAGTCTGCCTTCTGATCCCATCTCCTACCTGTTGCTCTCTCTGGTTTAGCTACATGGGCCTCTTGATGTTCCCCAGGCCTGCCAAGCATGAGCCCACCACAGGGCTTTTGCACTTGCTGTGCCCTCTGCCTGTCATGCTTTTCCCCTGATGTCCTCAGGGTTTGCTCTCTCACTGCCTTTAGGTCTCTGTTCAGTATTACTCACCTACACTATTTACAACTGTGCATCTCTGGCCAGGCACAGTAGCTCATGCCTGTAATCCCAGCACTTTGAGAAGTCGAGGTGAGCAGATTACTTGAGACCAGAAGTTTGAGACCAGCCTTGCCAACATGATGGAAACCCTGTCTCTACTAAAAATCCAAAAAAAAAGGCGGGGTGTGGTGGCTCATGCTTGTAATCCCAGCACTTTGGGAAGCTGAGGCAGGCGGATCACGAAGTCAAGAGATCAAGACCATCCTGATCAACATAGTGAAACCCCGTCTCTTAAGAAAAAAAAATACAAAAAATAAAAATCAGCCAGGCGTTCTGGCTCATGCCCGTAATCCCAGCTGTTTAGGAGGCTGAGACACGAGAATCATTTGAACCCAGGAGGTGGAGGTTGCAGTGAGCCGAGATCAGGGCACTGCA